GCGCTCAATCCGGGGAGCGCCCGCCGCGCCGGCTCGCCTGGCCCGGCACAGCCAAGCAGAGCAGGGACCTGGGCAAGGCCACGGGGGCAGAGCACCCGGATCACGGGATGGGCCTTTCCAGAGAGCCACGGAATGGCTGAGGATGGAAGGGACCTCTGGAGATCATCCAGTCCGACCCCCTGCTCCAGCAGGGACACTAGAGCACGTGGCACAGGGTGGCATCCAGGTGGATTTGAAGCCCACATCTCCGTCTGTCCGCACCTCCGGCACCTTAAAATGGCCTTCGGAGAGGCTCGGAGCGCGGCCCCAGCTGCAGTTCTAAGCAAAGGAACACGATGGAGGCTAACGGAGCCCCGAGCGCTCCGACAGCAAGGCGGCCTGCGGCACGGAGCTTTGCCGAGAGCCAGCTCGGACTGTGGGGAAAACAGCCCTCCCTCACACAGGACACCTGCGAGCTGAAACCAGGCAGGTCCGGAGATCTTCCAAACCCGCGCTTGGACACTCCTGTATCATGTGTTCTAGGTGACCCCGTGCATGCAGGAGGTTGGACTAGATGATCTCCAAAGGTCCCTTCCGACTCCACGATTGTGGGAGTTTGTGACACGGAGCCACGAAAGGGCCGTGCAACCTTAACGATTCTGTGATTCTGTGACACGGAGCCAGGGAACGGCTGGGCACATGTTCCAAGGGCAGAGTGGGAAAACAGAGAGAGGAGCAGGCTACAACCAAGAGGCCCCATGGCCTCTTCTCCATCCCAGGTCTCTCTTTTTGATCCTTCAGTCTTCCCAAGTGATCCTTATATCCTCACCTCTCTACCACCACCTTCCCAGGTGCTACTTATATCTCACCAATGTTCCTTGTTAACCTCAAATTGTTGGCCTCAGAAAATCCTTTTATCCATCAAGCAACGCGCATTATTATTTTTATCCCTGGCCAACCTTCCTCCTATTCCTTATTCCTACTGGGGAGGTCGCGCCGGGGCAATGCAAAGCCCAGACTGATGTTCGGGTTAGCTGCAACCTGATTGTCCGGCCGGCTGGTGCAAGGGGATGGCCACGAGCCCCCGGCCCCCCGGTGCAGCCGTTGTGCCCTTGCCCCGCTCTCCGTGCACGTGCAGCTGCAGAGCTGCGAGCGAGACGCGTTAGCACGAGGCCGGCGGTGCCGCGGCCCCGTCCCGCACCCCGCGCGGTGCCGCGGCCCCGTCCCGCCGCGGCGAGGCTCGCGGGCGGCGCCCGCGGCCGTGATTCAGCCCGGGGGGGGTTAGC